AAAAAAAAAAAAAGTTTGTTGGGAATTTTTTCTGCTATTCTGCAAAATTACTCCTTCGTTGACTAGAATGAATCATTAAATAGAAAATTTTATGAGAATTAAAACAATTTTATTTTTAAGATTAATATGCAGTCAGAAAGTTTTATAATTATTATTTATTGTAAATTTATCAGAAAAACTCATTATTTTTTGCATTTTTATCGTAATAGAACACTTAAATAGAAATCATAGTAATCATTTCTAAGTAATTTTTGATATTTAAAAAGATTCTACTATTGAAATATCCAGAACTGAATTAATTTTAATGATTTACATTGCCCCTTCTGTGGTCAGGGAAAGGGTCAAATTTATAAAAAAAATATATAAAATGATAGGAAAAGACATCAAGCATCTATAAAAAAAATTATATTGATTTGGTCATTTTTAAAAAAGTTATGGCAATTTTAAGTAAAAAAAAATGAAAAAATATCGAAAATTAGCGATTTTTAAATTTATAATTTTTTGGGGGATTTCCCCCGTTTACGAGGCACGAGGGATTTTTTTCAATTTTTGAGGGTAATGTCTTCAACTAGATACAATTTGTAATCTTTTGACATATTTTTCATCAAAATCGGTTCAGTGAGTGCTGAGATTGAGCGTATACAGACACAAAAAAAATAAAAAAAAACGCATCATAGTAAAATTAATATCTTCTCAGCTTCGCATCGAAGCTAAAAAACACATCATAGTAAAACCAATACCTTCTCAGCTTCGCATCGAAGCTAAAAGAATTTTTTACAAAATCGTATTTTTTTTTTATTAACTTTTATGTATGTTTTCACCATGAAGACAAAATAAAGTCCGACGTTTTTTTTTACCATAATAAAGTACATTACATTAACTTTAATTTAAGATTATATAAAAGTGTCAGACTTTCTGTAACAATTTCAAAAGTTAAGTTGAAAAAGTTCTACTTTGTATATGCAAAAGTTATGGCAGTTTTATGTAAAAAATATTGAAAAAATGTCGAAAATTAACGATTTTTAAATTTGTATTTTTTTTTCTTGAGATTTCCCCCATTTACAATGTTTTCAATTTTTAAGGGTAATGTCTTCGACTAGATACGATTTGTGATCTTTTGGCGTATCGTTGAAAGAAATCAGTTTGGCTAGAGCTGAGAAAAAGTGGTAACAGGCTCAAAACATGTATTTAATCTATAGTAATCATCTAAGAAAGTCAATGACCATCTTTGGTTGATGTGTTTAATTTTTTTTTAACATGTTTCAAAGACGCATTTAATAACGTTTTATAACAGTGATTTTAGTCACTGTCATATATCAATCAATACTAATCTGAAAAATGCTTAAATTGCATTATAGTGTATTCCTATTATACATAACTTTTTAACGTATAAAAAATGTTCCCTCATTTTTGTATATTTTATGTATATGTTTATGTATGATATCTGTATCATAAATACTACTTTGACGAACAGGTTGACAGATATTGAATTGTCTACATTCCACTCTACGCGTCCTGTCTAGAATAGATATTTTGATCATTCGAATTTTTGTCTCTTATTAACTTAAAATGCTTTGTTTATTTAATAAGGTTCTTTTAATTAAATTTAATCAAAAATTCATTTTTTTGTGTGTTCAGTCTTCATTGGACTCGTGTATTTTGTTTCAAAAATCATTTATCCCTAATTTACAAGATAGGAGCCTCTTCTGAGCTCATCCCATCTAAACATGTTAAATAAACAACTTAGTTACGAGATTTTGGTGTATATCTGCTGTCCACGACTCATCGACCTTAAGATACAATTATATTTTAGTTAAGTTTACACATATCCTAGTTTTTAATATTTAGTGTTTTTATCTATTTATTTAGTATTTTAGTGTATTTAGTTTGACATACATCATGGTCGTCGTCAGAGTAATTTTTTCTAGTTTAATTTTCTTATTTTTTTTTATCCTATTTTAGTCCGACATTATGTCAGCTAAATAGGTTGTGAGCCATGTTCTAAATTTTTCTGAAAACCACGACAGATGCATATCCCTTTGTGTCCAAAATTTAAATTTAATGATTTTTAACCTTTCATCGTTTTGTATTATTGTAGTTAATATATAGATGAAAATATTTTTTCTATTTGCAATTAATTTAATTATTAGTGTGTTGCTGTTAANTATTTTTTCTATTTGTAATTAATTTAATTATTAGTGTGTTGCTGTTAAATTGTATTGTAAATGTGTGTATCAATAATACTTTCAAGAGTGTACCTCGTCTAAATGTTGTTATGACAAAAGTATTGTCTTATACGTACTGACGAATATGTATGATTATTTAAATAATATAATCGTTAAAGAAGATTTGATGTATTTACTATTTGTATAATATCAGCAATGAACAATTTTTACAAAAAAAAAATATATAAATAAATTTATTATATTAAATTAATATATTTTCCATTGTTGTGCAAAACTTATTTTAAAAATTCCGAAAAGAACGTTAAGAATGATACTATAAACAACAATTCACTATCAGAAATAAAGGGATAGCTAATTGTAAATAAAAAATGTACGAATTGGTATTATTTTATTGGCCTTACGCACAGTTATTTTTGTCCGCCGAAAAAAAATTATTTCTAAAATCTAGAATACTTGCTCTAAAATATCTATGTATAATATAATACTTGGTTAAAATAGAGTAATTTTTAGCATTTTGCTTTTAAATTACCAAATCGACTCAAAAAATACGCTATTCGTAAGTTCAATTTTTTTTTTTAATATCTTTGACCTTAGCTTTAAAAAATAAATAAACTTGTTCAAAAAATCGACAACGGAAGATCTTTAAATTAAAATAATCGTAACATAACGTAATCTATACATCAAACCGCTATAAATAGCGAACGGTTTAACAGGTGACCTTGATATTATATATTTGGTATAAGCAATACACTAAGATGGAATTTTCATTATTATTATCTACATTAATATTTCTGCTCCTATTAATATGTGTATATTTAATAATGTATATAACTTTATTCTAAAATTTACTGCTTAATCTAATTTATATCTAACTATATTTTATCAAACAATATTTTTTTGTGTTTTACCACAACTTTTGATTTATTTATACATGTTCGTTAAAATATCTGTGATATAGGCACAATTTAAGAAACAATGTTCAAATGTACTTTGAACATTATTTGTGCAGTTGGGAAAATTTTTTGTATAGTTGA